ATATATATATATATATATATATATATATATATATATATATATATATATATATATCAAAATCTCATTACATTAAGAGCAAGTTTGCTTTCATATGTATCACCTGCATACACTACTATAAACATCATTCTATAAGTGGTAGGCACAAACATTATCTGGTTCCATAAATTAGTGAGATATAAAATACGTAAAAATCAAATCGTTCTTATTGGAAAGACCCGCAATTTCGCTTCATACTGCATGTGATCCCGTTCAAGTAGTGGTTGGCTAGCCTCCGTGATTTCTGGTCACGGTAAATGGAACTATTTTGTATATGAACAAAATCAACTTCATGGTTTCGATTAAGAGTGTTTCTGATTTACCAATTTATGTTGCCATATGTTTTTTTACTAGTTTCCCAGGTATATTGCAGATTACCTTGACTATGCTATTGTCCGTTGACAAGTCAGTTACTGCGGGTGAGATATAATTTGGTTTGAGTTCTAGAAATAAACGTCAACATGTTCTCTCAATACGGATTTTTTCGTCAGGGAAATTTACGGATAGATAAGTGCCTTGTACTAACGGAGATTGGGAGCATGACAGCAGAATAAATACTTGGATCGGAGAAAACGATACTTTGTTTCCTTTACATTTTAGCGAAAATGAATATTATCGGTTCTCACAGGTACATCTTCAGTCCGGTTGGAACGGAAATTGAATGTTCACTATTGTAATTCATCTTAACAAAAACCTCCCTGAACATTATCACACTGCTTTGGCTCAAATCGGGAAACAAGCAAACTGATTCAAAAATCTGTCAGTATTGATTTTGTTATTACCAGACCAGATGGTGCATTTATGATATCCATTTTTATAAATTGCTTGCACTGGAGACGAATGGATTCGGGAGTACTCCCCATTAATATGATAATACATTTTCTGAATTGGCTGCTATTTTTATTTCAGAGTTGCATATTTTTTCGATAAATACTACATGAATGGAAGTGGATAGGCGTGGTGCAAATCGGTATGTAAATGCTTGTTTTAATTGCAAACCGTGGCTAAGCTGCAAACATACACTGAAGTCTTCAAGGCTTACGATTTTGTCAGTCACATCACTCGACAAGGTTAGCACGTCCGTCAACCTGTTTTGTTGTTTTTAAGTGTCGCTCTACAACACATTGCCAGCTGAGAATTTGAAGGAAAAGATAATAGTAGTCTTGTTACTTAAAGACACAAACCTAATTCATTTTAAAGTTTTTGAGTGAATTGGTTCACTGATACTTAAAATACTACAAAATTAGCGTTACATTGAAACTGAATTAGGATCAGAGTGAACGCATCAATTTCAGATGGGTTAAACTATGGCAGAAAGCTTGAACCTCATCATGTATATAGCATACGAAATAAGAACGGTACAGCTATGTGGTTGGGTTTCAACAGCAGTGCGAATTATTAGACAAAACCGTGGAATGCAAACAGCTTGCAAAGATAAGCTTCACTATATCGTGCGCAGACAGATCCACTTGAGAAACTGCTCGATCCTCAAATGGGTATTATGCTTTCGTTCTACCGACGAGGTTTCTGGTTCCATCTTAGGTATAGTTGATGGGTTCGCACAGCTGACACAACCCGAACAGTTCGAAGCAGATGCACCGTGCTTGCTAGTTTTTCAAATCCGTAAGGAAGGTCAGATCGCCCTAGAAACTGGTCGCAAAGCCCAAGAGAAAAAATTTGTAATCTGGATGATCCTTTAGACTCATATGTTTGGTCGAACAGTGAGCGTGTTCAACCGACCGACCCAATGTTTCTGATCAGTCAACAATTACGAGCAGTCTGCGGTTGTTAAATAACAGTTTTCAGACATTCCTACGAATAATTTTTGATTGCCTAATATACTGTCCTGCGACAACCACACTTATGTTCTTTCTTTTATATGGGAATCGAAGGTAAGCATTTATCCACCCATAACAATTTCACACCTCGTTGGCCCTATACAAGAAAGAACGCACTATATAATTGAAGCAAATTCTCCTGCACTCTCATGACAACTCAAACCCGTGCGCATTTTAATGATGAGCGTTACCAAACTATGAACAGTCATGGCGGTGTGCTCGACAAACTATGGCGATCTTAAGGTATAAGCTCATGCCAATCAGAGTGCAAAGCTTTACAGTTTCGGAATGGAATACGATAACAAAGAGAACACGGAAACTGTTTGGGTAGCATGCTAAAATTCAATGATGCCCAAACATGAATCTCGAACAAAACAGTGTCCGAAAAATCTTGTTTCTGGATAATACGGTACAATTTATATCATCACATTTCGGTTCCATGTCGGGATATCACTTAAACAAGGGTCATCAAACAGGCATTCGTTTGAAACAACTGACTACTTTAACTTTTGATTTTCCAGAACCTGCATTTCGAGTTCCACATTTTACATATCATTGTCAGATAAATTGGCAGGTCGTCTTGCGAATAAATAGCTTAAATAAAAAGAAACCAGTGGGAATCGAAAGTTCGTGTTCAGTGTGCCTTAGAGAACAGTACACTAAGAATGGTGATCTGCAGAACCAGTTATCAATGACGACAACAATAACAAAACAACTGGTGAGCTCATAAATCTCTCTGTATATATACCTGTATACATATGCATATATATAGTATAAGTTGCACCTTCATCTCTACTGATGACCAAGATCTGTACCAACATTTTCAAGTTTTTACTCTCCTAAAGATGTCACTGCATTTTTGTTGTGAACTCATGTGGGTTGTTGAATTCTGCTAACATATGGCTGTTTAGCTTACCTGGATAAAGAAAATCCAATTGTTTCATGTAATCCATTCGATCATCGGATTCTGCCGATCCTTTTCTAGTCGAATGGGGGCCCAAGGACATGAGAAACGCGGCTGCATCATCAATATCCAAACCCATTCCAAACGGTCCGGAACCGGGTTCATCAAAATCTGGACTATCGTCCCGTAGTTCTAAAGAGTCCTCTTCATCTGGTTCAGACTCGTTTTCATCCTGATCGCCCGCTCCTTTACGTATTCCACGACGACATTTTGCCCGAGAACGACTGGCTGCAGCTAAAGCGGCCGCAATGACTGCCTCTGTGGTCGGATCGGTTCCGATCACAGTTGGATTATTAGCAGACTCAATCATCTCTAGCCATTGACTATTATGCCAACGAAACCGATCAGCCTGAATTCGAGTGCCCCAGTTGGAATCGAAATCCTTCATAAAAGCATAAAGTAAATGTGGAAATGCACATGATTAATGATGTTATGGTTTAACCAAAATGCGATACGTATTTATACAAACCTCACTATTCCAAATACACGCATAATTTCAGATATTGTGAAAGATAAGTATTCTGTTGCAATTTTAAAATTTTACGGTGACAGAGAAAACCTAATAACCCTGTACAATGCCTGAGAAATCAATAGAAAATGGATTTGTAGCAAACGCTAACGCGGAAATTCGCCGATTTTATTGGGATGGCACTAACCCAGGTAAGGGGATAGAATTCTGTAATCTGATTGATCCTTTTGCTCTGAAATTACTTGCCTATTTTCTAAACTGGAAAGAACCTAGGCTGTGTGAACTTATACATTTAGCGGGCGCAAGACATGGTTTTCCGTAAAAAGTGAGCATCTTTATTTCAAACTAGTAAAAATAACACAGCAACTCACAGATATAATATCCAACGAGATATCGCATAGTCTTCGAACTTCATTATTTTTATCATGCATTAGATCGATCAGATAAGCTGGAGCCTCTAAAAAATTGAGAAATGGGATAATGGGTTAGTGCATGACCAACACATGCTTACGGGAAGAGTGAACGAGTTCATTGCGCGTTTCCTCGTGAAAGACTAACTGGTAAAATACATGTACAATTTGGCAGACTATTTCATCATCTTCTTGTTTAGCTGAAAAGCAAAAGAAGAAAATATGATTGATAGCATTCAAAAAGAATAACCAATGGACAAATAGTGAAAATATCTATAAACCAACGAGATGATTTGAATATGAAAGCTTAGATAGAACTAATTAAATTCAAATAAAACCCAGAACTAAAAACGCTTTCCATAGGAAACATTTTCTGCTCGTGCTCAAATCAGTTTCAAATTTAGCATTTACCATGGAGAGATTTCGTCGCCAACGCACGTTGTATCCTTGGTTCGAAGGTTCGTTGAAAACCTCTAAATACCCATTTGTTTGTATAGGCATAAACTGATGACTAACAACTAATATTCTTACGTTGTAGTAAACCATTCTAGATTGTTATATTTCAGTTCCCCATTAGGTTGAACGGTAATGTGAAGGGACAAATGGAACTGCTACAAAGCTGAGAGCATTATTAAGATAGAAATAGAGAAACCACGCCGGCTGCATGTGTGTCCAACGTGAGCCACAATTTACTACACGCTATCCTTCTGGCAGCTCAACATAGGTCGATTCACGCAGCGTTGCGCGCGATTCTGCTTTGTTGAAATCTGAGTGGACCCCGGTTGGTCTTTGCTTTGAACTGTAGATAAAACTTCAGCCGATGTCCAGATATCAGTTAGTGAAGTTCAAAAGAGTTATGAATTTTGAGATGTTCCATTAGAGATGCACAAGGCTCCTGCGCTTATGTTACGCACATTTAGTCGCATTACATGGATATATATATGTTCTATAAAGAAGTGATTTTATCCATGAGATTTGTCCGACTTCCAGGTACCATTTGTTTTTCGATTAGTTTCACTGGGAAATTGAAATCCTCATCATTTGGAATAAATTAGAGTGATCGAATTCGCGGTATACTTGTTGCCCATTGTTTTGCCAAAGTTGACACAAAGGAAAAACGTGTACATGAAACAGACATCAGTAGCCCTACTGCCTCGTACCGGTGCTCAAATAATGATTTTTGTTTCTTCTAAACGTATTTAAAATAATTAGAATCCATAAGTTTTTGCTCGTCCAAATTTTCCAAAATTCATAATGGCAAGAAAATGTTAGGTTTGGAAAAAATAGAATCAAAACTATAGATGTAGAGAACCGTGAATATTTAATCAGCTGATAAATCTATTCGGTCCATTTGTCGAATTGCCCGAAGAAAATGTGACAAACATTTGTTTCCTAAGCGAGCACAAAATGTGTTTTTTGTTTAAGCTAACAAGCACAATTCAGTGGAAGGGGTAGAGTAGACGCGACAAGTTTGTGTAAGTTGAGCGCCCAGATACACAAATGTTAGCTTCATTCCTCTGCCTCTCAATTTCCGCCTCATGCAACCAACAGCGAGCGATATGTGTTGTTTCATTATCCGTGTGAGTCATGATAACATTAATAACAATAACCATTCATTGTCACTATTTTCTATCGAAGTAACTCCAGCGGAGAATGACACATTCTGTTGCACAACCTTGGCCAAGACTGAAACCGTTATGTGGTAGAAGCACAAGACTCGTCAAATAGTTTGTGTACGCACACTTGATCAGACTCACCGTTAAGAAGTTGAATCAAAATTGGAATTAGATCAGCGTCTACGACCAGTTTGGCTGCTGCACAATCCTGACATACCGTACCGACTAGCCTGGTAGTCTCCAAAATCACATCATCCTCACAGTGCACGCGGAAACAGGGAAGCACAGATGCATTGGACATCAAATCAGACGGTAAAGGTAAATGTGCTTTGTAACCCGCAGAACTGGCGCGCCTGTCAGATGTGGCAAGTGTGGTCAATGTCTCTCGGATCCAGTTCAAGAGATTTAGTTCAGTCAGTACGCGACTAAAGTCTAGATCTTTCAAATTTAAATTGGCTAAACAACCGAGACATTCAAGCACAAAATCCTCGTCACTTGAGTTCAAACCGTGTAATTTTTCTAGTTCGTCAATCTTATCCCCATCGTACTCGTTATCTTCCAGATCTTCATTAATGCTTGTTCTACTTCTTCCATGGCATAACATTCGGATCTTATTATCAAAAACAAACTCGTTCGTATCCAATGTCCGTCTGGTTTGCGCGGTATAAGATGTTTCCGGTCTTTTAGATTCTCGAGAGCCGCCGCCCATCTTCAAGCTGTTCGATGACGCACCGATTGCTCCAGCAGACTGAGTTGGACGGGGGCTAAGCCCGTTCCGTTCACTTCGATGTTTGTCACCTTCAATCACAATTTTAGCCAACTCTGGAAGATAGTCCTAAGCGGGAGGAATATATAAGATGGAGGGCAAATAATCGATGAAAATTTATCCTAGAAAACAAAATTATATACATATATCTGATACAAGTTGTGAAATATCAGTCAACGAATCAATATCAATCAACGAAAATGAACTCATTCACCGCTGTTTTATTTTTCATACAGGCCCGAAGTACTTTTTCCTCCCGGTACATCGTTACATGAAAATTCCCTTCTAGACGAAGCACACTGCATCTTGCAGCTTCGAACTGATTTGCTACGTTTTTCATACTCCGCTTTATTGACTTTTCGCAGTTCATGCCAAAACTGTATAATATACTCTTAATCTCTAACAAAAGACTTCCGATGCACTAGATAAAAAGAAAAATTATTGCTACTTTAAGTTTTTACTCCTTCGTTGATTCTAATGAAACCGCTAAAAACTGCCTCCAGTCAACTTTCTACTCCTAACTCGCTGTTTGAATTCCATACTGCTGCTCCAATATTTTCATCTTTTGGATAATGTTACATGAATAGCCATTTGTCGTCAATGCACTCATAACAGAAACATGCGATATACTTTAACGTTGTCAAAAGAGTTCAGTCCGAACAGAACAAAAGGATATGCAGCACATCAGTATGCACAACCCAAAAGCGGTNAGCGGATAAGAGGATGGCCAATTAGGTTGGTGGCTAACCGTGAACAGGTGGGCATTGCCTCACTGAAATAGCGGTTGCAGACAATCAGGGGATTTGCACCTAGGAATTGACCTGTTTGCATTAAAAGGCCGCAAAGTTCGATAGACAGCACTGTAACGTGGGTGAATCTCCATCACTATCACCGTCATCCTGTTGTTTTACATTTAACATTTGAGTGCGCATTGCTTAGAGGTGTATCCTCAACTAACTATCAAGTGATACAGGGAATAACATTATGTACCTTGATATACAAGCTTCTCCATGAGGCCGACTCACAACTCTGCAGACTAAGGTTACGTAAAAGTGTAGTGACCATGATTGTACGAAGAAAAGGAGCAATCCACGAGGACGTTTTCCGTTCATATTTTCTTCACAATCAACTCTGACTCCAACTGTGATATTTCTTTGTTTTACTTCTGCTTGTTTTACCGAGCACGGTTTTCCGCTCAGGT